GGTTAGTCGTTCCTCTCACCCCTGCTCGATCTTTCTCTCTCATTTGAACTTGTCTTTTAAATAAAGGCAGTTTTGAGCCTCATGTAGAAAAAGAGGTTCGATGTTAACTTTCATTTGCTCTGAACGTGGAGAAGGCCTTTCTTGACTTGACGAGAAGTGATTGTTCACTAAAACGGAATGGTTTTTCATTTCCTCCTCTGTGCCTCGCGTGACACTCAAAACTGAACATTTGTTATAGAGACGAGGAGAAAGAGAGGGTAATGGTCACTTGTATTTTGACTAAGTATTGGAATGCCTGGTAAGGAGCCGACTTATCGAAAAAATGTACCAACTGAAATGAAAAAGAATCAATACGAGATCAAGATATAAGAGGTTCATACGTAAGATCCTATTCTAATCGCAAATCATTCGATTGTAGAAACCGGCGAAAGCGATCGAAATAAACATCTTTCAAGCAACCCTTCAGACGCCTTCGGGATCGCACAAATGTATTTTGGAGGTCATTGGATGTGATCGAGTCCCCCACAATATTGCTAGCACTTTGGAGAATAAGATCCTTCGCCTGACTCCAAGAGAGTTTGCAGAAATCGGATAATACAGGAAAGCGACACAAATAAAAATGGTAATAATAATTACAATATGGACTTCAAAGCGCGGAAGTGAAGGTTTAGCCATGTGAATTATTTGGTCAGATATCCTATAAGAGCCGGGATTTGAAAAAATAAACTTCATCCAGCGCTAAATCTAAACAATAAAAAAAATTTACCCAAACGGAAGGATCAAGGTTCAGGCTCAAGTAGAAATGTACGAACTTATGTTATTGTCACAGAAGTGTTTGTCTCGATCCACAATTATTTTCCTGTCCTCAGCCGATTTGTTTACATCTCTTGCAAGTAATTACTCAAAGGTTGCCCAGTGCGAAGATGTGCTTCGTATCCCTCCAGCCATATCAGCCCTTTCATAACCACTTGGTACAGAGTGTTGTCATCTTTCCACAAGTTCGGCTTAAAATGGCAGATCTGAGTACAGCCATCTCTGCCGCCCATTGTATGGTTTAGCCCACTCAAAGCGCTCATCACAGAACCGTCTCTCATTCTCAGACAGGACGAAGGGTTACTGACAATCATATCCGGGCATGAATTCGGAAAATCTCTTGGAATGTACACTCTGAGAGTATACTGTTTATCATTGGTGGTTGTTACCCTTACTTCAACCTTCGTATCGCTAGTTGGATTGATCCATGAAACTCTGTTACCGAAGTACTTCTCGAGAATATTTTTCTCGAATCCAAGCCTTTTTTGTTGAGTTGCTGACCATGGCATTTTGAAGAAAGACAAAGGCAGCTTTCGGTTTGTCTGTACAATTTTCAAACGAGGATAACTCGCTAAATTCAAAGCGAGTGAATGCTGCGAACCACTATTTCCGAACCGCTTTGCTTTTGCTTTCCCGGAAATGGGAGTATGCGTAGATAGTATTGCGTACCTCTCAAAAAAGTAAATGATGCGCGAGCGTTTTTCGTGGAAAACTTTATTTACGATACAACAGACTTTTGTGCATTAATGACTGCTACTCTTTGAAGCAGGTGATATATTTCCTTTCGGGTTTCAACGGAAACTAAAACCGACTATTTTAAAAATTTACACTTCAAAGTCCAGAGATAAGTCGAGACACATCTAGAAGAAAATAGCAGTAGGACTGTATTCCAAACACGCATTGTATTTGACGGCCTACAACTTACAAAAGCTTTATTATCGCATGATATACCAGAGAAATCTATGATACATTCATGATTTAAGCATTTCTTACTTAGTGTGCTTTGTTATGCAATTGAAAAGGGCGCTTTTCTTGTTTTCTTGAAGTGGCAAAGCGCCAGAATCAAATGGAAAGCGATAGAGGGGAATCCCCTAAATCACGCCTAAGAGTAACCTATATTGACGTAAACTATAGCTTGACTATAGCAGATTGTTCAGTCCTTGTTCGTTGAATCATGGCCTCTGGACATAGACCCGTTTATCATTTTGGTGACGACAGAGGATCTATTACTATACAAACAGAGAACAACTACGAAGAAACAGCACACGCGACAGGGAAGATCGACAGTGACTTCCAAGGTGTCAGAGATCGCACTTCGTCTATGACCTCTAGCGTGTCGCAACAATGTGAAGAAGAAACAGCTTATGGAGACAGTGACAGTGATATAGAAACAGCCTGGATCGACGATAGCAAGCCTGTGACCAGAGACGACGCTTTCATAAATCTAAGCTTGAGTTCTTCCCGTCTGAAGTGGCTGCGGTTCTACCTTGAGTTCATCACATTCCAGTGGTACCCTCAAAACGCGTCAATCAAACGCAAGGCGTTTTGGTCTATGATGCAGTGTTTGATAGTAATTTTCTTTTGTATCTGTTATGCCTACGATATGGGCGCATTTCACAACAGATCGTTGATTGAGGAAGAATTAAAAGAAACAGTGACAGCCGCTAAAAACATCGTCTGGTCTCTCAGGTACCTCGAGATATACATTCTTGGGTTATATTACTTTAGAAAGCGCCACCTTGAAAGAATGCTGTCTGAGGTGATTCTAACCAGGCGATACTGGAAGAAAGTTCGACGTACGATCTTCAAGACAGGCGCAGCTGTGTTGATTGGTGTTTTCGTTGTGCCAGTTTTTTCCAGAGTCACTCAGATGAACATAACCACTGAGAAAGTGGAATCGTTCGATCTGAAAGAAATCGTTCTCTCTCTTCTACTTTCGGTTCTGGCGCGACTTGTGGCTCTGCCGATATTCATAGTGTTCATTTTCGAGGTATACATTATCTTTAGTCGAGTTCGTTTCTTCAAGGAGCAGGTACAAAAGTGGCGCGAAGGTAAAGAAAAAATAAGAAATCGGTTTATCGACATCAAAATTACGATCCGCAGAGCAGAGAGGGCTTTCCAACCATTCTTATTGATACATCTACTGTTGTTGCTGATTCTCCTCATTCCGTCAATTTTTTCATTTGCGGAACGTATTCAAACGGAAAGCTACTACAAACAGACCTACACTGACCAAGCAGAACTAGCAAGAGCAAGGGAAACTCCACGAGATCCAAACAGTATTGTTGATATTGGCAAGCAAAACTACTCCCAGCCACAGCAACTGGCTATATACCTGAGGCTAGCAGATTCCAAAGTTAATAAAAATACCACACAATCCCAGGCCTTTAAGAAGCACACTGTTTCAAAGACAGACGGATGGATGATCACCAAAATCATCTGTGGTGCATTGGCAGATTTCCTGGAAATGCTGGTATTATACAGCCTCCCAATAGTTTTCCTGGCCAAGCTGCACAAGATAATGACCAGTCTACCTGAGGTTGTCCAAGATCTCAAGTACAGTGAGCAGCGAGAGGGGGATTACCTGTTTGATGATGATGAAATCCTGAATAAGGTGAAAGGATACTTGGAAAATGGAAGAGGTATTCGGATCCTAGGCATTGATTTGACAGGTGTCAAGGCTGTTCTGTTGACACTGTTGATGCCTTTCCTTACAACAGCCATACATCTGCTGTTTGTGCATGTCGACCTCAACTAACAAACTTCTGAAGACATTGCAGTCCTACTCATGATCATGGTTGAATTTTCATGAAAATTCAACTAACATTACAGATCTAATTGAGTAGAAAAAGAAACTTGACACTTTTTGTGGTAAAATGTAACAAAATATCCAATGTACATTACTGATACATGATGCCATGTAAATATCTGATATATTTACTGGTGGCAAATGGACACCTTATAAAATAGTCATATTTTACTCACAGCTTAATGCACATAACAATTAGTTGACTATCTTGCATTAAAAAACCCAAGCTCCTTAAAAATTATAGTGGAAATATAATCTGCCTAGCAACAGATATCTTTCTAACCCTACAAACCATAGTTTACTAGATAGGTATAGGTTGTAAGTATAAAAATTAAATTTTTTGGCCATGTAGACAACTAAAGATATATCAATGGCTTGTAGAATGTTGACCTAACTTTAGAAGCCTTTCTACATCGTTGTATATATGCATGTATTTCTTGCAAGCAAATAGAGCTGGTAAAATTTTGTGCAAGACAACTAAATGATGGTACTTGTTAAAATGCATGCTTTTGACGCTAAAATTAGGAAAAAAACAAGGTAAAAAAAGAAAAAGGAACACTTCTCATTTTCTAGGATAAAAACCCTGCGTTTTTAAGTAAGTGTTCACACAGCTGGGTCCAGGTTTTAAGGGGAAAGGAAGTTTCATGTCACCTTTTTAATTTCTGTTGTGAAGGTTTTGAAACAATATGGCCTTCATTTTGATACAATTATTGTTAGATTAACACTTTAGGCACACACTGTAAATTATGTACTTAAGCCCTGTACTGCATAATAACCAAAAAAGTGCAAAACTGTATAATTATGGTTCTGTATCTTTAATTGATAACCTCTTAGTCACAATACAGTCTGTAAGTGGCTTTAACTTTAATTTGTAAAAATTGAGACACAATAATTAGTTGTGAAAGTCAACTACAAGGCCCAATGCTGCAACAAATAAAGCTGTAAAAATTGCCGTCTTTTGTTGCACAAGGCTTTGTCAAGTTTAAGGTTATTCACAAAACAAAATCTATAGATCATGATCTTATGTGTTGAGAAAAATTTTTGGTTTTGAGTAACCCATTTGAAAAAGTTCACATGCTGTGCTTGACTTGAGCTGCCTATGCATTGCATTTGTTGTCACTTGTGATTTTATAGGTCAGTCTTGTTCCAAATTCCTTAGATATGAAGTTACTTCAAATTAGCATGGGAATCCTCATCCCCCTTTATTCAGTAAGTCAATCATAGCTAGCAGATACCAAGAGACTGGGTATGAGAAGAAGGAAAAACACTCTTACTCAGCTGCCATTGTTTATTGTCAGAAACGTTTTCTTTACTAAAATACAAGGGAAAATCTTATGACTCAGGAATAACGCCTTACAGAATTGAAAGCTTTCTTTCTTTTTTCGGCTGAGAACTGAATGTCATAAGGTTTCATTTTTATTAATATTAGCATTTGTATAATTTTGCCAAGTCCTTTTTTGACAGTTAACTACTACAGTGTTATTTTACACCAATATTTGGTTGGAATAAAGTATTGGAGAAAGTTGGTAGATTCCCAGTCCAGTCTTCTCAGGTGATCTTTGCAAGCACCATTTGCAAATTAAGGCTACGTCACTTTGCTCAGTCTATAGAGGCAATGGAAACAGTGGCCCCCTATAAAATATTCACCATAGTTGACTTGTGTATTTTGCATTTGCTTAAACTTGCTCAGCCAATAATTCTACTCAAAAGAAAAGTTGCCAGGGCCACCCAATGACTGGCAAAATCCAAATCGGACCATTTGCCTAAAGTGTGATTCATGCCATAACCCTGAAACAAATTAAAACCACAAAATTACGAATGCATTCATCAAAATTCTACACAATTAAAGTCAATTTTCATTGTGAAACTCACAAAACAGAGAGCACCAGTGCTCAGAGTTTCACAGGAAAACAGATAATGAACCTAGCAAGGAAGATTTTTACTGTGATAAAATCGTTTTTGTTCACAATGACCTTTTCTTGGATTTCTGAGTCTCCCCCAAACATGATGCCTAAATAAGCCAGGTGAAAGACCGCAAGGAAGCTTAGGCCAAGATTAGCAGCAATCACCCAAAAGTTACCCTGAAAGAAGATAGAATATAGAAAAGAAGATGGAGCATAAAAAAAACTTTTTAAAATTCGCAAACAGTGCTGATCAAACAGCTGTTTCATTTTACACAACATGTACCTTAAAGATCGAAAAGAATGCAGTGTAACAAATCGCCAAGGGCCAAGTTAATCAAAGGAAGATTAACCCTTTAACTCCCTGAAGATCTGATTGTAAATTCTCCCCTCAAGCTGCTACACATCTCTTTGTAAATTAGTGACATGAATTTGGTGTTAGATCAAGATAAATACTTTTATCTGATTAGTTTGAGTATTCTCATTGCTGTTTTGTTGGATAATGTATGGATATTGCAGAGAGAATTTACTAGTTAATCACCTCTGATATTTAAAGGAATAAGGTTACAGACTGGGTTATTCTGCAATTTTGTTTTTTAGTTGCATAGCTTCACAGACAGTTGAATTATTTCACATATTTTTTTCCTCCAGTTTTGTAAGATGAAATTGTAAAACGTCTCCTAAAAACATAAGCCAAAATATACCCTATATTGCAATCAATAGAAATCGAGAACAAGGTAAACTTTTTATCCTGAATTATCACTAACTGCCTGTCAAAAAAACAGGCTCCAGAATCCTAATGAAGGATTAAAAGATATTTAAGTAGACTACTCACATCTTTGTAAACATGTCCACACTCTGGTCTGCATTTTCTTGCTAGAATACAAGCATTGAAAATTTTCCCCAACTTGTGACGAAAAACTGTTAAGACAAGAAATTATGATCAACTTGGATACATAAATTGCTGTGAGTGAAAAAATTTCCTTCAAAATAGTATTTTGGTTTCCAAAAAACAAAGAGTTCAAGAGGTGCTCCTGCACATGCAGTCACCCTAGACAACTACTTCTATCATTAATAAAATCTTGCTCAGTAAATACCACTGAGAAGATTAAGTGTTAGTAAGATGTAGAATTCTAGAAGAAAAATATCCATTTTTGTACAATGCCCCACAAAAATGTGTTCTTATGCTAAATACAACATGAAATGGTTACAGATTCAAGCTTTTTCCTAAGATCCAAAAACAATGATGTTGGGTGTTCACCTACCATGTTCAATGTAAGCATATGTTCCTACAGAAATCAACACTGCTGCAAGTTGAAAATTGATACCCTTCAAGATAACATAAATAATGAGTGTAATGCATGAAAAAGAGTTGTTTTAAAGTTTACAGAGGAGTCAAGCAAACTTATGATTCATTATTTGAAACTGGATCAGTTCATTATCCAGAGAGATTTTCAATACCTTTAGAAGTCATCTGATATTGCACCAAGCTTCATCATCTGTCAGATTTTCAACACCATTATAAACTCAAGCATTCCAAGATATACTTACATGAAGTAATGAACTCAATGCAAATGTTGAAAAAACAGCAAAAAATCTTCCAAGAGGTATAGCTTTCTTAAACACATCTGGTGATTGGAAAAAGAAAACATGCACACGTCATTTTCAATTACAGTTGACCTGTGCTTGACACATACATGCACAAGCCAGGAAACTATATAGGCTGCTTGGCCTGAATGAAGGGGCTAAGTTTAATTTCTAAAGAAACTGTAATGCTGCATCAGTGGGAGATTATAACAAGGTAATTTAGTATTTATTTATCAACTGAGTTGTTATCGTAAATTGGCCACCATAAAGAGTTTCAAAGCTGATATTTTGAGCGTTGGCCCTTTGTCATATAGCCCTTCATCAGAGCGAATGATGAAGGGCTTATGCCCAAAAGGTCAGCTTTGAAACTCTTTATGGTGGCTTATTTACAATACCAACTCAGTTGATAATACTAAATTACACATAGCCTGGAGTTCAGCATGCTAACAGTTAACCCTTCAATCCCTACAGTGACCAGCATCTAATTTCTCCTTACAATATCACCCCTGAATCACACATTATGTTTACAAGACTAAAGAAAATGATCACCAACTAAAGACTGAAGCTCTTGATTATTAAACAAATTCTCCTTGTCAGCACCTTAGGAAATACATAGAGAACAGTATGGA